CGACTGCCTACAAGGGCAATAAAAAAAAACCTCAAGTCTGGAGGTGGTGATATTCACGCTATCGCTAGCCACTTAACGCTTGGTGGGCCGTGAGCTCGTTCAGTCGTCTAAGCTATAAAAAGCCATTATTCGATGTTCGATTACATCAAAATTAGTGTTTTATAACTTCACGATATCGCAGTTTCTTAATTCGTGTATTATTTCGCCACCCACCCAACGGCTGCCCCGCCCTTCAAACCGAAACGTATTACTGCGTCACGACAGAAATGGGCGGGGTGCTGGTACCTATCCGTGCGGACTCACAAGTACCACCATCCTATACCATCAGTAATTACCCAAATTATAATATTGCGGCTTTCATTTTTACAACACGATGTTATTTCTTCACCGTGGAAGTCAATCGTGAATCAGCGGTATTTGAACACCGGTACATCGCTATATACGAATGCATCGGACGTCTTATCCTTTAGGCCACGACGACTTCAATGTAAATAATTAAAAATGTCAATAATGCATTAAGAATATATCAGAAGACTTATAAACAATGATCGAAACAATCTCTGTGATTAAATCTCAACATATATCCTCGCATGCGTCTCGTACGTATTGATCTCGGGTGTATCAGTCCGTGCGACGTGCTCTCCCACTTTACTGCGTACAGGGTGGAGGAATAACATTTCACTCTTTTATAACATCTTATTATTTGTTTGTTTCTCGATGCCTATTCTACGCTTTTTTAGTGCTGTGGATGGGCCGTTGAGCTAATACCTCATCTAGAGTTAAGTTGTTACCAGTCGCAGTACCAATTGTATCGGCTATCACGATGTTCATAAATTATCTTCAGAGATCAAATTAAATTTTCGTTGTGAGTGATTTTTTGAACATGAGCTAACAGAACATTGACTGGCTAAGCTTATCTTCGATATAATTTATGTTTTAATCCGAAACACCCTTTAATATATTTAGTATATTAGGCAACCTAAATCATATCATTAAGTATATCTATGGAATAACCGTTTAAAATAAGGTGTGCTATAATTTATTAAAGAAAAACTCGGTCAATAATAACTTGTATTTTTAATTGTAGTTACAGAAATTACATTTTGTTTCAACTTCCACACCTACTCCTTGTACTCAAACATCGTTATCTTAGCCATTTGATCATTCATAAACAAATATAAGTATTAATATCAGGACTCGTTCCGCTTCTGTTCACATAAAACTTAGGATTATATGCAGTAATAACAATAAGTTCGACTTAAATACTGTTTATAGTGTACGATACGATTTTTTTTACAAAACCAACACTTTCATAGCTGTCAAGGTAATTCTGGAATACATTACGATGATTCCGTAGTCAAATGATAAAAAACGAAAGCCTTAAGCATAATTTCATCAGTAGATGTGAAAGATCCGTCTGTTCTACTTTAATTGGAAGCTACTGCTCAATATTTACAACGGTCCATGAAAATAATGAAATAAATGCATGCAAGTAAACATGTGAATAGTTCGTTTATGTATCAGTCTATTGGATCACCGTGATTTACTGTCGGTGCTTTTGAAGCACTCCAAGCACCGGTCGCCGTTCCCATCGAACGGAGGGCTCGACAAATAACCCAGTCCATGAATGCATCCCATTGTGTTTCTAGCCGGATCTTCTTGTATTTTTGGTTAGGGTTAGTTTTAGCAATTCCAGGTTTAGCACTATGATTTAACTTACCAGTCCGCTGGTAGTTGACATAGCTCAGTGGTAGTAATACTAGTAGGAGTACTTAGGCTACCAACGATTAAGTAGAGAAAAAGCTGACAGACGAATTTACGGTGCCACAGTGAAAACTTACCTGAGTTCGAATGCACATAACATGAGTCTAGGGCGCCTCAGGCTTTAGGTCAATTAGATTGTAATGTTTTTACCACAGCGTTCTATGAATTAATAGCGATGTCAATAGTTTGGTACTAGTAACTGAGCGCGCGTGAACACTTCTTGTTACGTATTAAGTAGGTAGGGAGGTTGGTTTTTCGGGGAAACGGCAAGTAACGCAGGACCGTTCGTTCTGATTAACCTCGGCGAGCACCGTTGATTGATGAATTAAAAGTTCATAAATGAATAAATAATTGTCCCAATTTAACCGGTTTCATTCTAAAAATATTACCACATATTTTAAAATAATAAATACCAAAATCGTATTCTATAAAAGTTCATTTCTCGGGACTCGCTCTCCCGCTTTTTGTATCTCTTGCCATAGATTCGCGACTTATTTCACAAAATGGCGACACTAATGTTCCCCTTTATTTCAATGATTTACAAACTGCTTTATTTGTGACTTCATTGTAGATTTTTCTTTAATTTTATCTTTAGGTCCTTTTCTCTCTTGTTATTTTCAAGGAGATAATAGTTTTTAATAGAATGACGCCATAAAATTTATGTTCGTGTGAATAGCATAATAATTTTAATTGCAATAAAAATTATTTTAAGACTTGAGAATTTTTAATCTTAATCATAATTTTACCTTCCATGTCGCCAACGTCCATACCACGTTGAATACACCGGTTCTCGTCCGATCACCGAAATCAAGCAACGTCGGGCGTAGTCAGTACTTGGATGGGTGACCGCCTGGGAACACTACGTGATGTTGGCTTTTTTTAATTATCATACATAATAAGCTTTGGCCGGATGAATTAGCTGGTAATTTTTTATTAGTCAGTTGCCGAGGCCCGTGGGCACCGCCACGCCATCGAGCTGCCTGTAGACATGTGACAAAAATCTTGATTTTATTTGATTGTTTCATTACAGTGATCCACCCTTTAAAATTGTATGGATAAAAATATTTTTTAATAGCAATTTATGAATTCTTTGGAAATACAAAAACTGGCATTTTTCAAATGTACACAACTACAGCCATCTGTTGACAAACTATTAGAAGCTTACATGACATCTATCGGCATTTATAATGTGACTACCTAAATTAACTATAAATAGCAAAAACAAGAGTGCTGTGATTAAATCTATATTTGGTAGGTGGCGCTGTTTTCAATTTCCATTCTCTGTCTACAATTTCACTTTTTTCGAAAATTCCAGAATACTTTAGTGTATAATTTTTGTTATGTCAATATTAATATTAAGCAAAACACAAAAACATAAAATCTTTTAGTCATTTTTTAGACAAATGTCTTATGTATTGTTAATCAAAACTAATTTGTTAATTATCGTTAGGTAATAAAATATATATTTTAAAGAAATTTAATTTTACCCGTATTCGTATTATCATTTCTTTCATACGTATTTCATAAACAGGCCAATTCATTTTGTATTATTTTGTAGCTTTCTTTTTAATGCAGGGCGGGTGTCTGATACATGTAAGTTTCTTACTTTCAGTGCTAGATGGCGACACAACCACCTTTTTTATTTTTTATTTTATTGGATAATGGATGGATTATTTTATTGGATTGGATTGGATTGGGTGGACGAGCTCACAGCCCACCTGGTGTTTAGTGGTTACTGTAGCCCATAGACGTCTACAACGTAAATGCGCCACCCACCTTGAGATATAAGTTCTAAGGTCTCAGCATAGTTACAACGGCTGCCCCACCCTTCAAGCTGAAACGCATTACTGCTTCACAGCAGAAATAGGCGGGGTGGTGGTACCTACCCGTGTGACTCACAAGAGGTCCTACCACCAGTAATTACGTAAATTATAATTTTGCGGCTTTGATTTTTATTACACGATGTTATTCCTTCACCGTGAAAGTCCAGAGGTCCTACGACCACAGTTGGAATCTATTACGACATAGCCTCCTCCTCCATATTGATATTATTGTTGTACTACAATTCTATGAACATAATGAAGCCGAGCCTAAATGTAACAACGCTACAATAACATTCAAATTAACAATAGGTTGTACTACAAAGATTAGGACCACTCCTTAGCACTGTTCAGAGGGGATTCAAATCCACATTAAATTAATGGCATGTGATGGATAAATGATAGGTCTGTGGCGATTGAATACTGAAACTGCTTGGCGATATTTACTAAATATCTCAATATTGCGGATTTTGATTCGGCCCAGGGAATAGTAATTTATTTAAATGTTAATATGTTTAGTTATGTGTAAGTTTGCATGTTGGTGAAACTGGAAAGGCCTCCGGGCCACCAGTAATCTTTCAGTCATAAAAAAAAAAATGTATAATCTATTACATAAGTATTTCCAGATTGGATATATGATGAAAAGATCTGTTTAAAGCATAGATAGCAGTTATTATCGTCGGTTATATACGTACACAGGTATGTTTTTTTTATTGCTTAGGTTGGTGACGAGCTCACGGACCACCTGGTGTTAAGCGGTTATCGGAGCCTATAGACATCTACAACGTAAATGCCGGCACCTACCTTGAGATATAAGTTCTAAGGTCTCAGTATAGTTACAAGGGCTACCTCACCCTTCGAAGCGAAACGCATTACTGTTTCACGGCAGAAATAGGCAGTGTGGTGGAACCTATCCATGCGGACTCACAAGAGGTCCTACCACCAGTGCCTAATTATGCAATTTATATTTTTTGCGGGTTTGATTACGTGATGTTATTTTGTCATGACTTTCATCATTCGTGAATATGCCTTAAGTAGGGATTTCATTACGAAAATTGGTACCTGCCTGCGGGATTCGAACACCGGGACATTCGCATCGCTCGATGCGGATGCACCAGACGTCTTATCCTTTAGGCCACGACGATTTCGTTTGAATAATTTTGCGTAGAACACAAAATATTGTTCGATTTAATAACCGAACCAGTATCTTTTAATGGAGTCCCACACAGGCGCGCCTCGCACGAAACATACACAGCACTATCATTTGACAATTTGTGAGCAATCAGCGTATTGTCGCCGCTCTTTATTCAGGGGCAGATAATACGTGGAAAATTGGCGTTGCATTGTGACCGGGCCATTGTTGGCTTAATGACAGCGTTCAGGATTAACTCTGTTTCGAAACCGGACAACAGTTCGGTTCTGGCCGTCTGGGTGACCGGGCTTGGGGCGGACGATTCGTCCGTCAAACGTTTTAGTTAATATCATTGTCAGTTCGATGTTATTGTGAATGTCGCGCCGTGTGATACACCAAGAGATGATATCCGAAAAGGAACTTAAAGAAATTTCAAAGTTTCATTTTTGACTTTTAATAATGCCTAACAGCCATTTCAATGTTTTATTTCTTGGCAACGTAGTTTGACTATACCGGAAGACTCTTATAAATGATATAATTAACTCAATGAACTCCAATGGCATATCAAACGGAGCAGAACAAACAGAAGACGAGACACACAAATCCTTACCATATAAAACGACCTATGAACGCCTTCATGGTATGGTCCCGGTTACAGAGGAAGAAAATATCCATAATGAACCCGAAACTCCACAACTCGGAAATATCAAAGCGCTTAGGATTAGAATGGAAGGGTCTAGACGAGACCGCTAAGAGACCTTTCATCGACGAAGCTAAGAGACTAAGATTGAAACACATGCAGGACTATCCCGATTACAAATACCGGCCCAGGAGGAAGAATAGACCTGACGTAGCGTACACAAGCGATCCGGCTTACAGCAGGGAGATGTTTGTAGAGGTGGAGCCAAGGACGACAGAGTCCTACCAAATACCATTGTCGTACGCGGATCCGCTTACATACAATAACATGATAACTTACACTGTACCTTCGTTACCACAGCCGACCTACGTCCCCAGGTCGAAGGAAGATAATCTATCGAGAATAGACTTAAGCCCGTTACCTTCAATTGAGAGTATCTCCCCAAGACCGTTCGCAGTCGTCAGCCAGCAGATGATGGTCAAGGCGTACCAGGACTTGCAGTATGTCGGAGACGTTCCGAGGATATCTTACCATTACCCATTCGGGGTCCAGTAGAATGATTATCCGGACAGGCAGTTTAGTGGAAACTGATTTTAACAGGTGCAATGATTCGTGAGCTTGGTATTTCTGGATCTGTAATAATCGAACAGAATCATGGGAGATAAAGTGTCTAGGGGTATGCTGTTTTTGTTATTGTTATATGCACTATGTATTAAAATACGTATTAACATAATTATGTAGATATTAAAGAAAAAGTTGATATTGAAGATAATAAGGTTATTTTATTTCTCAAATAATTTCCGATTAGATCTAATTTTTTAGCAGAAAGGCTTGTGAAATGAACTCCTGTAACATTAAATTAGGTAATAAACTTAGTCTCAAAGAAATTCGCAATCATTTTCGCATATTCGAACACTAATACATCAACTTCATCATCCTACCCGCGCGGGCTCATAAGACGCATTGTTGATGTATAAAAGCTCCGATATCTGATTTTGGAGTTATCGGAGTATGACGTTCGTTCACCTGTCTACGCAATAAATAAATGAAGACATGAGTGGATGAAGAGGATATGATACAATTTGTTAATTTTGAGAAAACAAGCAACAAATTTTTGTTACACGTACTTTTTCTTCGTACGTAACGTTTTCATCACATACAATTTCTATAAATAGCATTTAAACCCAGAGGTTTAAGGTCTAATATGGTTTATAGGCACATAACACCTTCATTTAAAGTAAAAACTCAAAAATCTTAAAAATCTTACTTAACCCCTTCATCCACTCATGTCTTCAAATGACAAAATCTAATATGTAATTCGTTCGGGAAATTGTGAAAGAAAAAAAAAAACACATTTTCGAATCCTGCAGATTCACAATGTTCCCAAACAGCTCGGAGCGAATGACAGGACGTCCTCGTTTGATATGAAATAATGTACAGAAAGTGACGAGACAATTTACTGATGGATTGATGGAGCCTAAAGGAGAATGTAATGGATTCGCTATCTCGGATAGGGTGGACAGGGACTCTAACATTTTCATGTGCTTACACAGACTGGTGTTCAAATGATCGTAGGTCGACCGTAATCAATGAGGCCTCAAGATATAGATTCCTTTGACTTCATAAATCTTTTATATCGCGGACTGCTATGTAGGTTACAGGTTCATTATGCGGCGCACTGAAGTAATTACCTATGTCGATTTCTCTTCTTCTTACTAAAGCGCTGGAATATCTAGTAGACTTTGGGAAAGACGAATCCGAAGATACAGAGAATAAATACTTATATTTCTAAGATAACTAAAAGATTAAAACTTACATTAACAAACAAAAGAAAAGAAAAGGTGATCCAGACGCTTAGTAACAGAAATTGACATAATTAGCTTAGATCAGTCAACGTGCTATGATATTGTTTTATGGACATTGAGAAAAGGGACTTTTTGGCGGGAATGCGAGGAGTGGAGATGTGTGATTGGTTTTATTTTGTCTATTTAGTGTTTCTTCGGGTTTAAATGTGTAATAACGATGGTTTATTAACTATTTATAATAGTATCTGTGAAAGTGCACAAATGTGGGAAAATGAAACAAAACTGGTGAGCGTAATTTCTCGGGATCCTCCAAAATGTCCACTGAAACTGTCTCAGTAAAAGACCACCATTTTACTGAGTTTATATTTCATCCCATATCATATCATCTCATTACATTTAATTTCATGCCAATGTAATAATTTCCTTCGTTTTTTATTATTGATAAACTGTAAATAATTAAAACGGCGAATTATAAAAATCTTATTGTTTGACGCTGGCTAATGCACAAACCGTGCCGGAGCCAAAGATTAAAGAAGAAGAAGAAGAAGACATTGGGAAAAAAATACTTATGAGCGATAAATGTCGTCAATAATTAGGTACATACTTACACTAAAAAAGAAAATTGATTGGTAAGCAGTACAAAAAGGGTCCCAAGCTCTTCGGTCTTTGCTTATTTGTAAATTTGGATCGTATTCATTCCTACAATTATGTACAATTATGATGAAATTTGGGATATTGGATGACATTACAGAAGTATCAACGCATGAAAACCGCATGGATACAGAACAAATGAGTGCATTATATCGATTTTTCAAAAGCAAATATTATAAAAAAAAAAAAAAATATTTACTTATTAGTTGGGTGTACGAGCTCACAGCCCACCTGGTGTTAAGTGGTTACTGGAGCCCATAGACATCCACAACGTAAATGCGCCACCCACCTTGGGGTATAAGTTCTAAGGTCTCAGTATAGTTACAACGGCTAAAAATAAATAAATAAAATTGATTAATTTTATTCGTAACCAAAGTACTATGTCAACAAATATAAACAAAACAACTCTCTTTGTTTTAATATTTATAAAACGAACATTCTTTCATTAATTGCTACGTTTAAACAATGTTGTTATTACACAGTTTAAAGAAAAGTGGCTTGTTTACTGTATTTTCGAAATTGAAAGAGGTCTTCCTCTAATAAAATTTATATAAATTGGAATACCAATAATCATATTGTAGAAAATGAGACATTTATATAGAGTTGTTTCGATACGACTTTTATTTTACGAGAAATTGTTTTTGCAAATAAAGTTGCCGGAGCGTTTAGACGTCACAACGTTAATGCATTAAGACAAATGACGTAGCCTCTATTAAGTTGATACAACGGAGAAATGGTTAAGATTTTGTACGGGAGGGGAGCATGCTGCACTTTCAGTACTAATTGACAATTGAAAACCAATTTTTGTAGCTTGTTATCTACACACCCGTTAGCACAGCACGTATGCGACGCTGCGAGGGAGGAGGGCATCACGTGCACGGACCACAACGGCGCCAGAACGCGAAGATTTCGTCAAATTCTTTACGACTCTTCGACAGTATACCGAAAACTGAGCAAACGCGTCACCTGCTACACAACATCGAGATAAATAATCACTCCTACCACCCCAGCCCTTCTAATATGTCCGTCAACTCTAAGATATTACTGAATACTTTTGTATTATACCTATTCTAATATTATTATCATTAGTCCCTAAGACAGAAATGAGTGTTAGATATGAGGGTGATTGGTAAATAATTGGGAATAGTAGTAGTAATAATAGCTCGAAGAAGCTCTGGCTGGATTATGGATAACGGAGCGATGACTTATTTAAACCAAGCAGGTAAAGTAAGCCATAGTGGCACTGGGTGGGCCCAGTGGCTTACTTCACACCCCCAGGTGTAGACGTCTTTAATTTAAAAATAATCATTAAAAAGCTTTAGGGAAGTTAGAGTGTATTTGAGCAAACTATTTAACAAGATCGCAAATATGCTGGGAATATCGCACATAGTCCAATTCTGTTCAACAATGGCTAATATACGATTAAGATAGCGGGAAAGACGAAAAATACGTGTGTGCTTAGTGCGAGTTTTTTAACGTTCTCGATGACGTAAAAGTTAACTCGAATTTGTACGGAGTTGGAACAAAAAAAAAGCGCATCTAGCGACAAACGTAGTGGAGTTGTTCCAACTCCATTCAAATTTGAGTTAACTTTTACGCGATAGAGAAATTAAAAAAACTCGCACTTAACGCACAGGTAAGATTTTTCGTTTTGGATTAGAACAACTATATGTGCGTGTTAGTTTCGGTATGAATACTCCTTTTTGAGAGTAGGCTGTCGATGTCGCCCAAAATACGTCATCTCGGATCCTCCCGATCCACTAACGGTGCTTTTAGGTACTCCAAGCATCGTTCTCGTCGAACCTGTCGCTTGCGAAGAAGGGCTCGGTGAGTAAATTAACACAGCCCACTGAGTTTCTCACCGGATCCTCTCAGTGGGTCGCGTTTCCGATCCGATGGTAGATTCTGCGAAGCACGTCTCTTGCTAGGATTCGTGTTAGCAACATCGTCAAGTTTGTGCCCCGTGAGCTCATCAACTAGCCCGGCGACGCTGAAATGGTCTCTCTAGATCATCAGCTTAGGTAGAAAAAAAAAGTAGGATAATTGGGATTATGATCAATTTCATGCCTCAAGATCGATTGCAACCTCCGAACTGGGTTAATGCTCTCTTTCGGCTTAATATGAAGTGGACTGTAGGCTGTACTTTCGATAACACTAAAAACTGTACTGGGATAACGTTGTAACAACTCCATATGAATACGTGTTTACAAAACCCTCTTTGCACTAAAATAGTAATAATTAATCAAAGAAACCTCAATAACGACGAGATTGAAATTGATTTTCATTTGAATTTGAATTCATTACGTGCTACTTTGGAATATCACAAACGATCGAAATTCTGACGTAAAAAGATGAATTTGTATTAATGAAGTGACGCAAAATGTAATTGAAGAGTTTTATTGCCGAAAGCTTTTTTTTTTAATTTCAGAATAACACTGAGCTTACGTAACGTTCTAGAATAAAATTTTCGAATGCTTTAGACTTACAAACAATGATGTAGTAATTAAATCTACAACCTCGCATTTATTATTAATATAACATTATTTCCGACGTTTAGCATATATATTTTTTTATATTTTTATTGCTTAGTTGGGTGGACGAGCTCACAGTCCACCTGGTGTTAAGTGGTTACCGGAGCCCATAGACATCTACAACGTAAAGTAAATGCCGCTACCGACCTTGAGATATGAGTTCTATGGTCTCAGTATAGTTACAACGGCTGCCCCACCCTTCAAATCGAAACGCATTAGTGCTTCACGGCTGAAATAGGCAGGGTGCTGGTATCTACCCGTGCGGACTCACAAGAGGTCCTACCACCAGTAAACGTACACAATGCACCCTATAAAATTCGTATAAAATTATGCCCACTCTATGATAGTAAGTCTGGCGAAAATAAAAGTATATTTTCAGTGCCAGTTCCGGGAAAGGCGTCACGTAACAGAGTGCGTTTATTCAGGGCTCTCGTATTCAAATCATTCAGGAGCGGTCCTTTTCAGACAGTATATCTACAGTTCTTGTTCTATCTTTGTGAATCACTAAATACGATTCTCGATACTATCCTCACACGTTAAAGACTGTATTCGCATACGAGAACTGAAGTTGCAATTCTCGCATTGCGTATTTATCAAGCCTCGTTACCTCTTCGTTTCATATGCAAAAGGTTGTAATTACAAAATCGTAAACTTCAAAAAACTGTCTTAAGTTAATTGAGTTACAGCTAAATATTGTTTGATAGTTCCAAGGAGTTGTTCCACTTTCAAACGGTACTTCGTGTTCCATCCTAACTGTTAAATTTGCATTTCAATAAA